TATATATGCTAGGAATAAGTTTAAATATTTTTTATTGTAATTTGTAATGTTGATATTACTAATCTAACTTTCATTATTAAAAAAATATACTAATAAAATTTAATCAAATAATAAATCATTAATAAAATAATTTATAGTGGTGGAGAGATTTTTAAGAAATAAAAGTAATGGAGTTACATTTTTAGATATTAATTAAAATACATTGCCTATATTATTGATAAAGAAGATATTTTTTTAATGTACAAAACTTTTTAATTGTTTTGTTCTTATAACTTCTATTTATATCTCATTTATCTTTTATAATTATCCGAAAATCATTCTTCACTATTAACTACTAACTATTATTCAATCTTAATTTTTTTATTTTTATTTTATTTTATTTGTTTAAAAGTACATGAGTCTCTTTTCTATGTAATGATCTTTCATGACTCTTATAATATGTGAAATCACTACTAGTAGCAAAAACTAGATTACTAGAATACATAAGATTAAAGGAGGGAATATGTCATATATATATATATATATATATAGAGAGAGAGAGAGAGAGAGAGAGATATTCGTTTACTACGAAGAGTAAGTCTATCTAAACTTATTATATTCAATAACTCATATTCAACATCAAGTTTTAATGATTCAACCATTGAATTTAAAGTTCTTAATACAAAGATCAAGTCTGCAAATTTTTAAAAAAGTTTGAAAACCATTTGATACTTCATTTTTTATTCAAATTGACGGATAATTATCAAATCATTTATATGTTGATCTAAATAAATGAAACAAAGTATCAAAAAAATTTCAATTTTTTTAAAAATTTACAGTCTTGATCTATGCATTAAAAAATTTAAATTCAATGGTTGGATCATTAAAATATAATGTAGAACATGAGTTATTGAACAGAGTAAGTCTAGGTAGACTTACTCCAATTACTCCAAAAGTAAGTCTACCTAGACTTTTTCTGTTTAATAACTCATGTTCTACATCAAATTTGAACAATCCAACCATTGAATTTAAATTTTTTAATGTATAGATCAAATATGCAAATTTTTTAAAAATTTGCATATTTGATCTATACATTAAAAAAATTAAATTCAACAACTCCTGAAATAACAAATTCTTCCTTATATATATATATATATATATATATAGAGAGAGAGAGAGAGAGAGTAAAACACATGTATTGATATAGACAAGTTATATATATGTATACAGTAACCCTAAAATAATCTTGTGTCCTAGTGTCAGTCAAGTACTACTATACAAGCTACAATGAATAGCACCAACACCAACAAAAGGTATTGCCAACCTCCAAGCAACAACTCTTTTAGCCTAACCGTGATCTGCTCACATACAATGTATGATTATTGCAGTTCAAACCACATGGAAATAGGAGGGTAAGCTAGAGTCTAGAAACATGTAAGTATAGAAAAGAATTTTATATCATACAAGATCATATCATAAACATATATGAAAGCTAAACACTCAAATACTAACATATATCTCATCCAAATCATGTCACACAAGACATCTAACAATGCATATGAACACACCATAACATACATCATATGCAAATATCTCAACTAACATGTTGTCATGCATTCACTTACAGAGATCTCCTAACAACATGAGTAGTTTAAGTGACTCCACCCTACTAAACCAACTTAATTATTTTCGCACTCAAAGCACCAACTCGATTACAACAAAATGGGATAATAATCTCTCCTCTAGTTTCTCTAGTTTTGACACTTTTACTAAGAAGGTCCGGTTCCACCGTTAGGAATAGTATAGTTGGGTATAGGCTTACCATGACCTTAACATGCATTACCAAGTCACATACGAGATTATTGTCCACTAATTATCCTTAAGGAACCACACAACCTTTCCAAATACTTGGTTAAGGGTTGTAGCCCTTAACCTCATACTTTACTCAACCACTAACTAAGGACCTAGAGGATACATCAACACATCTCAAAACCCACTCTAAGAGAGACACCTACTCAAGGAGAATTTTCCAATAATGGCCTACCTAAGTACCATTCCAAGATTCCCTATATGGGATCTTCAATTTTTGAAAATAATTTTTTCTCCTCAAGTCCTAAGTTAGCCAACATGCCTTAATGTCATATCACATTTTCAGCATCCACACCTCATCATACATCCTCTATATACATAACATTCAATCAATATATAGTCTCCACACTTCACACAACATGCAATAAAACTCATACTATTCATGCTCATCACACAACATTCCAAAGTATATCCATCGTCCAGGCATCCCACGCCCGACATAACATACTTCGCGTCCAATGCCATCGAGGTAGGAACACTCTGCCTCACTCACACCTAATGCCATCCAAGTCGCACCTAGTGTGACCAAGGTGGAGATCCCTTAAGATCTCACGTCTAGTGTGGCAAAATCCATGTTTGGTCTCATATTAGGTAGAGAACCTCTACCTGACTCTCGTTCGGTGTCACCTTAGTGGCACTTGATGTCATCCAAAAAGGGAGCCTTTGTCTTGATCATGCTTGATGCCACCCAACTAAGGCCCTACATCACCTAGTTAGAGACATTCTCATGCTATCACACCCAACACCATCCCAACTCGAGATGAGTCTCTCTCCTCATGTCCGATGCCATCGATACTACCCCGACGTAATCGAGACAAAGCCCTCTAGTTGGAGTTACGCATGACGCCACAACAGTGCGCTTGGCATGACATCAGAAATTTGCACTTACAAATCATGAAAATTGCCTCCAAGACTTAAAATACAAAAAAAAATCAACACATGCATTGCATCAAGCAACTCATACACATCATATAAGACTCATAATCAAGCTAAAACGGCACATGCAACCACAAATTAGAGAAATCACCAATTTCCTCTCCATGAACCCAACCAATCGAGTTCAACATAATCAATCCCAAATTCATGCAACTTCAATACCTAAATGCAAGCAATCCACAATTCATTCAATGCATTCAACTCAAACATCCATTAAAGCACTTCCTTGCTCCCTTTACTTTGGCTCTAAGCAATCGAGATCAAAGAAGAGGGAGGAGAAGGAAGAACCACTCTAAGCTCAAACAAAACGAGCTCCGCACTAAAGATTCTCAACTTTTGCTTCGAATCATTGCCTCTATAGACACACCCGCCCTCAAGAAGAAAATGAGGAGAAAAGTTTTAGAGAACCAATCTCTATCTCTCTAAAATCTCTCTCTAAGATCTTGAAAGACAAAAGATTATGAAGCTCTGCTTAAAATAGAAACTTTATATTACTTTTTCTCTTATAGTCAATTGAATCTTTGAATAGAAACCCTCACAACTCATCCAACTCACCTAGATAGAGTGTTACATTTTATGTTATTTAGAATAAAACATATATGTTATCAATCAATTAGAAAATATTTTTTGCATAACCTTTTAAAACAAACATTATTGTTGGGTATCAGAAAGAATGAGCAGAATGCGGAAGCACCGGATCAAGTTAATTAGAGATAGAGAGAAGTAAGTAGAGAGACAAGAAAAATAAATACACACCAAGTTTACGTGGAAACTCCAAAGACGGAGAAAAAACCACGGGCGATCAAGAGCAAGATAATTCCACTATGTAGAAATAGGAGAGTACAAGAAGTTCTCTAATATCATGAGAACAAAGAGATAATCTCTCAAATATAGACTAAAAATACTCTCTTGAATCTTTCCTCTCTATGTATGATTTTTCTCAAGTGTGTAGATTGCTGAATCAATTGCAATTTGCTCCAAATGCTTGATGCCTTATATAGGCATTGAGAAGAAGCGTATGCACCCAGAATAAGGAAACCTGGAACAAAACAAGGAGCAAAAAAGAGGAAACCATGCATAAAATCATGGCCTAAAATCAAGGAAACGTGTTTTCCTTAAAACAGGAAATATGGAAGAAATTTGTGCCATAACTTTACAATTATAAAAATAACAAATTTACTATATACAATAATATATAATTAGGAATATATATATATATGTATATATATATATATATATATATATATATATATATATGATTTGTTTATGCTTCACCTTTTCTACACTTTACATTATGGAAGAAAGTATGGCCTTCATAAGAATGGCAATGTATTATGATACTTGTTTCCCTTGGCTCCACTCTCTTTTTGTTCCCTTTCCAGCCCCGCTTTATGCTAATGGAATTGCTGGGACATCCCTTTGTTTGGATCGAAAATTTTGTATTTTTGCAGTTCCGGTTCAAATTAAATGCAATAATAGATACTTCCCATTGTTTGGATTGAGATGCTATGACATATTCTCCACTGACCCATTCAAAGGGATATAAATTTGTCTTAACTGGGCCTTAAAGAGTATCAAAATCAACAATGCTTTAAAGACGAGAATGTCTTTCTTGACCGTGATGACTTTGGAATTATTACTATTTTTATTCAACCCTCTCGATTTATTCCCCTAAACTAATTAGGCACCGATATTATTATTTACCATGTAAACATTAATTTAGAAAACGCTCTTTCATAAGTTAATTAACTAAATTACTAATTTAATATTTATTAGGAAAATAACATACCTATTTTAGGGTGAATGGATTATTAGAGGGGTGATAAAAAATATAAATATAAATAAGTATATATTTATAAATATTAAATTTCTTATCATGTTGTCGTTCAACCACTTTCGGCACCCACTAAGCTATCCCGGGGAGGTTGAAATCAAGGAATCTTACAGGTGGTCACAAATAAAGAGTCCACGCGTCAAATATCTAGTGGTATTGCCCACAATTTAGCATATTCTTTCTCACAACAAACATTGATTTACGTTACATTAAATTTATATTATAAAATAAAAATGATTATACGAATGGAAAAAAAAAACTCTGCCCAGTGCCCACACTGTTTATTGACACCCCTAAAATTTCCACACGAGTTGAATCCACTCGAAGATTAAGAGCAAAGTTAAGCGTAAAACAAAACTTAACTGAATCGCAAAACGCCAAAAACTGGTGTCGTTGAATCCAACTTCCCCCAAGGCAAACGAAAATGACACATTACAATATTACATACCCAACCAATACGCATTAGATTGTTACACTTATTCTATAGTATATATATAGTGAAGGGTTGTTTGTTCCAATATTAATTTGTTTTCCGATGGGTTCCTCTGTTGCAACAAAAAGCATAGCAGATTCAGCGTCGTGGTGGTGCGCCATGGTGTTGTTGGGCATGATACTGCTGGGGTCGATAAGGGAAAGCACGGTGGCAGAAGAAGGTGAGGAGGCTGTGAAAGGGAACAACCTGCGTGAACGAGCGTGTGATGAAATTTACGTTGTTGGAGAAGGGGAGACCCTCCACACCATCAGTGACAAGTGCAACGACCCGTTTATCGTGGAGCGGAACCCCCATATCCATGATCCCGATGATGTTTTCCCTGGCCTTGTCATCAAAATCACACCCACCAATACTAGCAAGAGGTAATAGTACAACCACCTTATTCCATTATAATTTATTCAATACGCAAAAAGAGAGTGCAAATTTTTCGTATCTTCCCTTCTAAATTTTGTTTTAGAGCTTTTGTGTTAATTTATTCATCTCTAGTTAGTTGTTTGACTAAGAGGGTCTCTCTTGGTCATATAGATCAAGTTAATTTCTTCTCGTTATTACTGGGTTTGTCACCCCTTTACGAATGATATACAGAGTTTTCATTGGTTCACTTCAGCCATGAGTTTATTTTGTATGTAAAACTATGTTTTATAGGGGGGCAAATTGGGCAATAAATTGTCTCCACGGATGACATCTAGTTGCGAATGTAAAGTTCTTGTGTTTCATTGTTGTAAATATATAGTTTTTCGTTTATATGTCGTCTGTGTAATTGTTCTCCGGTTCTTTTGGAGCCATGTCTCGTACTCTCATTCAACTATTGGAGAAGAGTTTAGCCAAAACCTGAAACAGAGGACGGTGTTCACAATTTCGTTTAATTCTCTGTTTAGATAAGAAATTTTAACTAAATATAAATATAAGAATAATATGCAATTTTATTCTGTTCTCAGTTTGAATGTTATATCAAATTCAAAGCGAATCACATCTGTGATTTTTTTTTTATAATTATTTTTATCACTTTTATAATTATTTTTTTATCAAACAAGCAATTAAATAAAATATAATTTAATAATCAAATGAGTAATCATTAGTTCTTGAAATTGATTTTTACACGACCTTAAGCAATAGAACAATTTATAAACCTCTTATAATTTTATTTTATTTTTGTTTTATCACATATATTTTCCGGAAACAATTATGTTTAAAGATATAAATAAATGTTAAGACATAGTTCAATGCTAAATACTAAAAGTGTATATATTTTTTAATAGGAATTCGAATTTTAATTAACTACTATAACTAGAGGTTGCGTGGTTTCATTTTTTTTTATAAAAAAAATCAAACCGGATGTAATTGTATCATTTTATCAAATTGAACTTATTTATAAATCTTTTAAACTATATTAATAAATCAGTTCAAAATCAAATCACTTTTATAAATAAGTTTATAATTAATTTAGAACTCATTTTATGACTAAATCAATTTTAATATAATTTTAAGAATTGAACTAGTTTTAATTTTTTTTTAAAAGGAAAAGTAGTTTTTTTTTTCAAAATTGTGAACATAATCATGTTTAATACACTTTTTAGAGATAAATTAAAAATCTTTTACTCATTTAATTTGAAGACTAATCAAATAGATAAACACAACATAAAAGATTAAAAAAAATTATTATTTTAATAAAAAAGCATTTATTTAAAGAAAAAAGTTTACATAAACAAATTTATAGAGGTCAACTAAAAACATTGAAGAAATATAATTATCTTGTGAAAATTTAATTATAAAACATGATTTAATAATTGACATTAATTTTAATAGTCTAAAATTAATAAATAAATTAAAAAAAAAAACAAAAATAAAAACACTATGATTGTAAACAATGTTCAAATATTTTATGTAATAACAACTAAATTGTGAGATATAAAAGACATAAATAGATTATTTTTATTTTATTTTATTTCATTATTTAAAAAATGGTACACCGATACATTAAACTTAATTATCAATGGAGTTCGGTTTTTAAATTTCATTTTGTGCAAATAATGCGATTTGATTTTTTTAAATTGGTTGTTTTTTTTAATGAATATTGCAATTCAGTTTGAAATTTATTAAATTTACCCATAACTGTGACAGATTAATTCTTTTTGTCAGCTCAATCTTAGCTGAGAAATAAAATACCGCTTTATGATAATAACAATATTATGAACATATTGCATAACTGATAAAAAAAATAAACATCTCGTAAAAAAAAATACATCAATAACCACTCAAAATTAGTCATATATTATCAATGTAATGGATTCATAATTTAACATATAAAAAAAAAGTCCAATACACATGGAATCGTATGTTATCATTATTGAAAGTTGAAAATTTTACTACATAATGATATATATATATATATATATATATA